ATTTAGGGGGCGCAGACAGACAGACAGACACCAGACAGACAGCCATGGCGTAATTTTCACGCCCCTGTACATGAAAATTATTCTTTTTCTCGTGCGCACATACTCCACACACGATCCCTCTAAACAGCTTTTTTTTGCAAAACAAAACAAAAAGCGTACGCCTAACGGGCCACACTTTTCGCAAAAAAAAAACTATTATCATTCATTGTCATCACACACGCCCAACACCTATATTCAGGAAAAAAACGGAAAATAATTGACAACACAAGAGATGTTTTGTCCGTGCGCCACGGTTCGACGCCGTCCGCATGCTCCGGTGCCGCTGCTCCGGTGCCGCTGTGGCCAGTCCTAGCACGACCAAACTCGACCCGCTCCGCTTCGTACACGCTCCGTAGCTGTCCTTCCCAGTCGGTTCCTCGCTTTCTCCCTCGTTGCACTTAGGGTTCTTCTTCTGAAAATTCNCGGTGCCGCTGTGGCCAGTCCTAGCACGACCAAACTCGACCCGCTCCGCTTCGTACACGCTCCGTAGCTGTCCTTCCCAGTCGGTTCCTCGCTTTCTCCCTCGTTGCACTTAGGGTTCTTCTTCTGAAAATTCTTGCGCCGAAGGGTCAACCAGCCCAATCAGCTCGTCACCACCTGTCCCCTCCTCCTTTGATGGCAAAACCAGGTTTCTGAGACAGTACAGCTCCCTCTAGCAAACCTTGGGCCGTGTTCATGATGCCCTGCTCTCTAGAAAGATCCCTCCCCTCGCTATGGGTCATGCCTATGCAAAACCTTCCCATATATAGGGGGGGGGGGCGTACGCTTACGTTTTGCATNCTTATGTTTTGCATGCCTTAGCGGTTAGACCATTGACCACGCGTCCTCGAGAGGACGGAGAATTGTTCCCACAGGACCGATCACCGATAACCAATCGTTCCTTTCTACTTTGCCAAAGGTGGTCNTGATGGCAAAACCAGGTTTCTGAGACAGTACAGCTCCCTCTAGCAAACCTTGGGCCGTGTTCATGATGCCCTGCTCTCTAGAAAGATCCCTCCCCTCGCTATGGGTCATGCCTATGCAAAACCTTCCCATATATAGGGGGGGGGGGCGTACGCTTACGTTTTGCATGCCTTAGCGGTTAGACCATTGACCACGCGTCCTCGAGAGGACGGAGAATTGTTCCCACAGGACCGATCACCGATAACCAATCGTTCCTTTCTACTTTGCCAAAGGTGGTCCAAAAGTGTCTTCCCTAGTCTGTCTATCCTAACGATATCCCTTCCCGCCATTTCAACCATACATATAGCGGGGGCGGGAAAATGCATGCATGTTTCTATGGTGGATACATCGGCTACAGCAGAAGGGCTGGTCCAGGTGTATTGATGCTGCGGAGGCTGTTTCCGCATCAACATGAACGGCCAAAGATCCTGAGTCACCGCAGCTGCTGTGAGAGAAGGGGGCACGTATATTGCAGCAAACTGAAAACACGGGCCCGATCACCGATAATGATGATGCAGCCTGTGCGGTAACCATGGTCGTGACAGCCTCCGGCCGCGTGCGGCCAGCCGCTGCTGTTGAACGAACCAAGTGGGATGTGCACGCCCGTGGTTGGTGGAGGGAGTTTCCAACAAAGGTGTGACATTCGCAAAGTTAGGCCCCCAAGCGCGGAGGGCGCATGACCTACTCGCTTTGTAGCTACGACTGATGCCTACGTTTGACGTTCATTTTTTGTGCACGATGTGTTCTGTACACATGGGCCTCGGAAAGATTATGCTTGTGCGCGAGACGCTTTTCCATGGCGGCACGACAGCTCGGCAACGCCGCTCGGGAGGTTAGTGATTAGACTAGAGGCGAGGTGTCGCACGGCGCTCTATCGCCGGCGGTTGAGCCGTAGCTTAGGGTGTGCCGGAGCCAGAGGTCTAGATGACCCTCTGAGACAGCAATCCGACCAGCCGGGAACCGACGTTGACAATCAAACAACACATTATTTTCCAGTTTAATTTTTCGTTTTGAGCCTCTCTATCTATTTCGCAGATAAACGAGAGGGACTCGGACTCACAGCGAGAGGTGGTGGTAGAAACACCCGCAGGGAGAGCTTATTGTTTCTTGTTGCAGCAGCAGCAGCAGTAGAAGGCTCCGCGTTTTCTCTTTTGCTGCCGTCGTTGGAGAGTGTCTGCTCTGTGTGTGCTTGTGTGTCATGGTCGCGGGGGGAAGCGGGAGCGGCATGTTTCATGTAAGGAAAAGAACAAGTCAACTAGGTGTCAAGCTTGTCACAGCATGTCCAGCTTGTCTCCGCTTTTTCACTCCATCTGCTGCTAGATAGTGGTACCACAGAGCACGGCCAACACCCCGCCGTAACCCCAATCCAACGCGTGCTTTCACCCGTGATCCCTCTCTCTCCCGCCGCTCGCTGTGTCACTACAGCTACTCGAAGGTTAGTCCATCTTGATGTGTGTGTGCTACCCATGCATGCTACAAAGTATGCACAGGCAGTAGGTGAAATAGCGGTCCTTCCGCCAGATGGCTTTGATGCCCCGCA